ACATTGTGTCCCTTTACTCCAGTTACTTCAGGGCAAATTTCTTAAGGACTTAAGTACAGTGCAGTTATCAAAATCAAAACTTGTGATACAGTGACAAAGTCATCATCTAATGTGAAACATGGATTCAAACTCTATAGTAGCCCAGAACTGCCCTATGTAGGCATTTGTTCCCCAGGCCCAGCTGCAATCCATGCATACAGTGGACCAGCTGGTCATGTACCCTCAGTCACCTTCCACCTAGAACCCTTTGGAGCCTCCCACTGGCTTCCACAGCACTGGAGGGAGGGCAGGCCAGTTATTTTGCAGAACACCCCCATCTGGTGCTGCCTCATGGGCCATGTGCTCTTGGCAGGAGAAGGAGCTGTGCCCTCAGTGCATTATATGGGGAGGTGCTCGAAGTTGGCGCACTCCAGCGTTGGTGCTGCTGGGTCACTTGGATAAGCTCTGCCAGTTTCCTCCTCTCTAAAGTTACTGTTTTCCCCTTATAATTAGTGAGTAATATTTAGAAAGATATTTTAAGATCTGCAAGTACCCTATTCCTCAGCAAACTCTCACCCACGCGTCGGAGCGTCCACTAATCTGACCCCCTCTTCCTCCTAGACTGATTAGTCCTTATTCTTCTGTAAAAAGAGAATTTTATCTTTCCCTCCTTCCCCCTCTTCTTCTTCTTCTCTCTTTCCTTTTCTTTCCCCCTCTCTCTTTCTATTTCTTAAAGAAAGACTCATATTTTTATTTTGTTCTAACTTTTTTACTTTATTATTTAACATTTTTAAAATTGTACTTAATGGGTTATGATCCACTGTTATCATTAATTGTTTTTGATACTCAAATTGTATAGCTGTGGCTTCTGGGAGCCCCCTTGAGCTGTGCCATGTCTCTATGACATGTCCCTGTCATTCTCTGAGCACTTCTGTACTTTCTGGTACAACAATTGTTCCGGGATCATCTTGTGCTTTCTTTGAACCACCCTGGAATGAGGCAGTTCTCCAAGGAAAGTGGTTATTCAGACACTGAGAGCTGAACACTAGATGTGCTCAGTGCTGCTGTGTTTCATTATTTCCAGGCAGTGAAAACCTTACTTCTTACTGATACAGGGTAAAAGAGGAAGGAAGGAAGGAAGGAAGGCATGTGTGTCTAGAAATATAGAAACATCGAGTCCTGCACCTAGACACAGATGTGTATGTCCATGTACGTGTGTGCACATACACGCACACGAGATGTCAGCCATCCATGTGCTCCAGACCATCAGTCGTACTGACACGGCCTGCTTTCTCGCTTGTAATACTACAAGTCCTCCCAACAGGGAGAAGCCTGCCCCCCATCACCCTGCACTCTTAGCTGAAACCTAAAACACAAAAAAGTGCTAATCCATACTGTGCTATTGCTCTTTATTTTGTTGAGATAAAATTTACATATGGCAAAATGCATGCATCTCAACCATGCAGTTCAGTGAGTTCTGGGAACTACGTGCCCTTGTGTAGGCCACACCCCGTCACCATGCAGGTGGACCCCCTGCTCCTGTCTGGTCGCTCATCAGTGAGAGCAGACTCGTCCCTGAGTTTCCCACTGTAGGTTCATCTTGTCTGTCCTTAGCGAAGTTGAATGGTGGTGGTGGATGTTCTGCCCTGTGCCTGCTTCTCTCCCTCCACACTACAGATGCCCTCATTGTTCCCTGGGGCTGCATGCTGTCAGTTCACCTCCTGGGCAGCAGGCTGTCACATAGCTACACAAAATCCACTGAGGCCCTGGGGGTTGGCACTGGGCAGTTTCCAGTGCAGAGAATTCAAACGAAGTCACTGTGAACTTCTTGGTGACACCTGGTGCTGTCCAGAATGGCATTTCTATGGGGGTGTGCCTGTGGGGTAGGGACTGTGGGTGTGTGTGGGGGGTGTGTGTTGAGCAGGCCCCACAGGACCTTATCAGAGTGGTGGCACTAGCCACCATCACCGCACTGTGTTACCAGGGCTTCTCATGGCTCTAATTTCAACTTTCAACCCTTCCAGAAATGCAGAAAATCCACAGGTTCACAAATGGTAGCAGTTGCCATATATATACTTTTAAATTCCATTTGTTTCAAAAAGTTCTCTGAAAGTTGTTGGCCTCCTCCCTGAGTAAAGATAAGCCTGACCACTGTGGGACTTAGCAGGGGTAGAGGAGGCCACTTTGTTGGGCGACCTCTGAGCTGGACCTGGAGCCTGGGACAAGGGCAGAAGAGGGGATGCCCTCTCCCCAAAACAT